CCGGTAAAGCGCAAATGAAATATTTAGGTCCACAATTAGCGGATTTGCGCTTTAGCGGACTGGTGCCCACCACTGATTGTGGCATATAATGACTCTTTGAGAATGTTACTGAGGCTTCCGCGGCACAGTAGTGCAAGTGAAATGTTTGCTAATTGCGGTGTTAGATGTTGTGCAGCTGTTATTAGGCACTGTATCTATTCATTTATGTGTAGAGTTGAGAATCAGCAGAACAGTATTTTACAAGCTCTGGTCTGCCCTAGAAACAGTTCTGTGAGATTTACKTGAAAAATATTGAGACATTGGCGTAACTGTTTATACAGTATGTGTAAATAATTTGTGATGTATTTTTTTTCTTTTAATTTATATTGTATATTTTTATATACTTCGGTTTTTATTTTTAATTTTTCTCTTTTATTTTCTATATGGACCAGGATATGTCCTTAATAAAGCTTGACTTGACTTGACTATCAGGTTGAGTCAAGTTCATCCACACATGACTCTGACATCCATGTCTATATGTCGCTTGCTTTGTGCACTGGTGCACAGTCATTTGGATGGCTGAGCAAATACTTTTGTCAATATAATATAGGTCACCTTCTGAAGGATGCCAAAAAAAAAGAGGTCAATTAAGTAAGCGCCAACATGAGAATGAAACTCAAGGTTTTGTACCATTTTAACATCCAGACTGTAGCTGTAACTCCGAGGAGCCAGACCCAGCAGTTCTTCTGAACTATACCGCGGCTCCTCTCCCCTCGTCGACGTGTCCTCCTCTTCCTCGGGCAGTTGGAAGTTGAAGGTGGATATGATATTTCTGGTGCAATCGAACGCCTCCTTTTCATCCCACGCAAAATGGTCCACGCAGCCACTCACCCTGCAACCACACAGACACGAGAGCCACGGTACAAAACATCCCGTCGATKTTCTACCTGGGAGTCTTAAAGTTAGGAAACGTACTCGGCGTGGAGTCTGGCTCCTCCCAGCTCCTCCGGCGACACCTCCTCTCCGGTGGCAGCCTTGACGAGCGGCGGGCCTCCCAGGAATATGGTTCCGATACGGTGCACCATCACCGCCTCCTCTGTCATCGTGGGGGCGTAAGCTCCGCCCGCCGTGCACGAGCCGCACACCACCGCCACCTTTATCATCATCATCATCATCGCGGGTTATTATTGCGTACGGGTTTTACGTGAGAATGCACTTCAGACTTAKAGCTCCCTTAAGAGTACCTGCGGGATTCTCATGGCTGACATGATGGCTTCATTATAAAACGCCCTTCCTCCGTGGTTCTTATCAGGAAAKATCTCTGACTGGGAATGAGAAATTTAAAGAGCATGAACCGACCAGCGGTTATTTCTATGAAAAGAGATTATATGTGACCCATCACATCGAAACAAGGATTAAGTGGAATGTGTAGAAATAGRCAGATATAGGGTGTTGATAYGTGTGCAAAAATTWAATTTTGTCAAAATATAATGAATTAATGCCTTGTTAATGCATCATTTGCATTAACTGTCTGAAATATAATCCTTAAAAAACTCTTGAAGCATTTTTTGAGCAGTAGCAACAAAAAAACAGGGAAAAATGCTTTAAAATTTTGAAATTTTCCCTGTAAGCCAGCAATGTTTTTGTTTCTTTACAACTGCGAAATCGTAATATACAAGTCCTATTTGAGGTTTCCTCTTTATATTAACATCAAAAATGACTCAATAAATTTACATAAAATTAGGATTCAGACCAAACAAAAATGCAGGGCTATTCAACTGGTGGCCCGCAGGCCACACCCAAAGTTCGGCCCGTCAACTGGTTCATTCATCTCTGAAGCC